GGCAGCCCGGCAGAGGTGGTTATCTTCTCGCAGGAGGTGTCCGATTCTCTTTATTTCTGCTTGGGTCTCTAGCCGTATATTCTTTTGCAGGTTTTTCTGCCGATGGACGTAGTTACTTTAGCAAGCAGAAGTTGCGGTTGGAATATTATTCTGGGGGTACTTTCTGGGCGCTTTGGGTAAATAAGCTTGAATTAATGCGACTAAAGGTTTCTAGAATAGTGTGTATTCACAGTTCTTAAGACAGCCGGTCACTTTATGGGGAAGCTAAAAAGATCCTCACGTTGTCTTCGAAGTCATACAAGTCAGTCCTCACAAAATAGTCCCCTAAAGGAAAACCAAAGTTTAGATATAGAAGTCTACTGTTTGGTCGTTACTGCAGGTAATAGCAGCATTATAAAAAAGGTGAAGGATTGCTGTGGTGTGTGGGTTGGTTTACCTTATTTTGGATTTCTGTGGAATGCATTTTGCGTAAAGATTTTTGCAGGGTAGATGTCCATAGAACGCCTTTGTCAGAGTGCTGGAAGCTTGTTGTTTCTAATCTTTATTGTGAAACGAGACCACGTGGAAAACTTCTGTTAGAAATTATAAGTGAGATTATTCCTGGTGTTTGATTAATGGTATTATTGTAAGGTTGGTGAGAGAGGATATGATCAGGTTGTGTTGAAATGGATGTGAGCTGCCACCCTGGATGAGCATGGAAATTGAAATGTTTACTGTTGTCATCTATAAATTTCTACTCATGTAATAATTTATCCAGATAGGCTTGAATTTTTTTTACTCTATTTTTTTTGTTCTTTTTCAATCGCTGACAGTAGTCAGATCATGAGTTGCAGACAAAAACAGTTTTTATGTTTCGTATTTTAACATGCTTTTAATTTTTTGTCCTGCAAAAGGGTTGATTCTGACTAGAATAGAATAGGTGTTAATGCACATTTGCAAATTGAACTTATTTCTGCTGGAAATACAGCGTTATTTTTATGCTCCTTTCAGAAGAGAAGTGCTCTTTCACCACTTTAAAAAAGTGCAAATAAATCTTGCGTACACTTTTAGTTTGAAATCACCTGGTCTTATCTCTTCTGCTTGCCCAATGAAATTTTTTTTTAGACCATTCCTCAAGTAGGTCTAATGCTTATGGCCAGCATAATGGCCTCCATAGGTTACTTTCCTGCTGTTTCAGATGAGTTAAATTTGCTCATCGAAGGATCCGACACAACGGTTATCCGTGTCAGCAAAAGATGAGAGCCCAGTTGAGAGTGTCTGTAGTGAGAAGGACTGACTTGGAGCTTCTACCTTCAGCAGTGATCAGCTGTGAGAAGTCTGTCCTCTACCTTTTTTTTTTTCTTTTCATGCCTTTCCTCATGATTGTCTTCACCTGTTGGAGATAATTTAGCTCATCAGGTTGAACACTAGCAATGACAGTTTGGTGGGTGGAATCGTCTTGTGGGAGTCAGTTGAGCAGCATACCTGGTGCAAGTGAGAGGTGGGAACTGTGTGTTCAGATTGCCCTTTTTGCATCACCAGGTTGCTAAATAAATCTAGAAATTTATTTTTCAGTAAATCAGATATATATACAGAAGGTGGGCAGGGAACAACTCATCCTGCTCCTACCTTTTGTGTACTTATTTAAGGTTCCAACTATAAACCTGGCCCACCTAAACTGTAAGGGGTTTATTGGATAGTATGTGTCAGACTTTCTAATTCCATTAAATTTTTCTTCTCAGTTATTTCTGAACCAGCTGATGCATGAGTCTGCTATATAATGCTTCTGAGCATTGCTGCAGTAGCTAGGTTAAATCTAGTTTACTCAAGTATGCTGTTGCCTCACTAAAAGGAAAACCAAGTTAAGGTTCAATATATATAACCTGAGATAGGTGATATGTTTGATATTCTAATCCTAGTGCACCTCTGTGTCATTAGTCTTCAGTAAAAAAAAAATCTCATGCTCTGAATCTGCCTTCCGTGGGGAAGCAGAATGCAGCAGAGCCAGGAAGCTGCAGCCCATGTTTAGCAGTTGCATGCACAGCCGTGAATCTGACTCTTACTTACCGCATCAGTAACGACAAGAATATTTGCTGTGGATATATAGTTATGGACAAGCGTAAAGGGCTTTTCCCAGGAGAATTACGATGCTGCTTCACGTTATATTTAAATGTCCTCTGACTGTAAAATGCCAGGGAAGGGCTTGATCCGTGTCTCTCTGCATCACTTCCTTTGCCTCAGCTACAGCAATTGTGCAGTTCAGGGACCACAGAAAAGGTGGAGAAATGCCAGCAGGAACTCCTGCTGACTTCAGATTCAGTAGTATACAGTAGAGATTAATATTAACGGGTTTTTTTCCTGGTGTTGATTTTATCTTTTTTTTTTTTTTTATATCAAGCTGTAAAACTTGTGGCACAGCTCAAGATTTTGAGATGGACAAGTTGTCAAATTGTGGAAGACTTAGTTTGCTGCCTTACACCGATTTCATCAATGCAGGAGTCTTTACTTGCTGCTTTCTAGTGATACAGCATGTGTCTTCTACAGACACTTTCAACTGGCTGAATCCTTGGAGTTTGCTCTGCTTTCCTTCTACGGAACACAGAATATAGAGTCAATCTGAGTAATAAAAGTGGAATGAACTAAGAATTCCAGAGTTTAGGAGAGGAAATATGAGATTCCAAAAATAATGCCTTTCCTATTATTTTTCCCATTTGTGGGGAAAACATGCTTAAGTATAGCTCACTCTTATTTTTTTAAGTGCTTGGGATATAGATCTTCTGTCTTCAAGCTGGTGAATCGTTCTACCAGAATCACTATATATCCTCTTTGACTCCAGGCAGAGTGAAATACAGATGGAAACAGTGACAAATTTTAAAAGTTGTGCGGCCATTTACTGCTTCTAGCATGAGTTTTCTTAAACTTTTGCCCGTTTGATCAAGGTGAATTAATTGTACTGTTTTTCTTTCAGAGTGGCTCAGAATTAATTACGCAGCACATGAGTACTTTGCCCTTCTTCAGTGGAGTGACCTAGCTTATGTTCTTGTTAACCTTCCCTGTTGCATTTTTTTCTACTCATAGGTGAACAACAAAACTCACTTTCGTAACTGACAATGACCACAAAAATAGTGGGGCAGAAGGGAAAATCATTTAAGGTGCAAGTTCCTCAGGATTTTGAGAGAGGATACTGCTCCTTGCTTTTGGCACTCAAACTATCTCCCAGTTTTCTTTTTCTCAAATTTTGTACAGGCTTTTTTGTTAAGCTTTCATTTGTAGGTCAGCTTTCCTGCAAAGCTTGTGTGAGATGAAGAGCCAGCTTGGACCTTATTCAGAAGCCTAAATGCGTCCTGTGATGTATTTTAATTTTTTTATTGGCTTTGCTTGATCCCTCCAACTGAAATTGTGGAAATAAATCAAGAAGATGTTAGTTTTTGCCTTGTGGTACATCTGTAACCCAAAAGGAAATGTTTGGGTTTGTAAATACTAGTTCTACTGTAGTTCACATATCCAGACTTTTTATAGTAATTTTTACGTTTTTTGGTGGGTTTGTTTTCAGATGGTGAACTGAATGTTCTGGATGACATTTTGACTGATGCTCCTGACCAAGATGATGAGTTGTATAACCCCGACAGTGAACAAGATAAAAGTGAAAAAAAGGGTAAGTGACTTTGGTAGTTGATGTCCTGTAGGAACATGAATGGTAAAAACCGGCCTGATTCAAAGAGTGAGAGGTCCAAAAGTCTTTACTTCACAGACATCTGCTTTTTCACCTGACCTTCTAAGTAAACCGTTAACTAGGTTTCCTCAAAAGCATTTGCTGAGTCTGACTTACAGTGAATTAATTTACCATTGGAAAATTACTGTCCTTTTTAATGGAAGTGAAGCAAGGGGGTCCCAAAGTCTAGTTCCAGCTTGGTTCTGCCAATCTCACAAGCATTAGTTTAGCATTCCCATATATAAAATTTAGAAAATGCCTACCAAAGCCTAAAGGATTGCTTTTTTAAAGTAAAATAGAAGTTTTAGAAAATGAGCTGGTCCTAACAAGGAGTTTTGAGTGTTGGTGCAGAGCTACGTACGACTGTAACAGGAATTATCCAAAGTAAAGAAAGTAGGAGCGTCTACACAGTTTTTTGGTTTGATATATAAAATAACATTGAACTGGATATCTCTTTCTATTTAAGGATCAAAAAGAAAAACTGACAGGATGGAAAACACTGAAAGCAAGAGACAAAAACCTTCTGTGCATTCATCGAGGCAGATGATCCCAAAACCTCCTAGTTCATCAGTTAGCAATAACAAGAGAATAGTGAGTACGAAAGGAAAACCACTATCAGAATACAGGAATGAAGAGTATCAGAGGTCTGATAGAAACAAGCGGCCAGATGGTGATCGAAAGACACGCATGTCGAGCAGTTCCAGGGAACCTTATAAAGGACAACCAGAAAAAACTTGCTTGAGGAAGAGGGATATTGACAGAAGGGCGAAGTCTTCTACGCCAGATGGTTCAGAGGTATTAAATATTCTTGCTGCCTTATAAATAATTTTATGAGACTTTTATAAGGCACATTTCCTTAGGACTCTGTGTGCATCCTGACAATGTTGTATGACTGCTGATTCACTTTTTCTTTAAACATCAGAGAATCAGGCATGACGTGGATCGAAGACCAAGCAGATCCAGCCATTCTTCTAAAGAAGAGCTGAACTCTGAGGAATATTGTTCAGATCATGAGACTGGCAGTAGCGGTTCCTCTGAACAAGGCAATACAGAGAATGAGGAGGAAGGAATGGAAGAAGAGGAAGATGATGAAGGGGAGGAGGATGAAGAGGTGGAAGAAGATGGAGAGGAGGATGAAGAGGAGTATGAACAGGATGAGAGAGATCAGAAGGAAGGAAATGACTATGACACGCGAAGCGAAGCCAGCGATTCTGATTCTGAATCTGCCTCTTTCACAGATGGGTCAGTCAGATCTGGGTCTGGTTCAGAAGCATCAGGTAGGTAACATCTGGCATGCTCATCTGAAATACCTTGCCACTGAGAGCTGGGCTGCTTTTAAAAGTGACCACTTCCTGACTGTGTCAAAAGTAAGCCTTAGAAACACGAGTCTGTAAGGTATTAGTTGCGAGATACAACAGATGAGGAAAAATCTGTACTGGCAGGTGATATTTCTTTACATGAAAACTTGTGATTATCCATGCTGAGGATTCATGGTGTTCTTGATTGCTTTGGTCTTGCTGTTAAATCCTTTGAAACATTAGAATTAGTCATATTTGGTTTTAGGTATTCAATGGCTTGGTTTCCCGTAAGATTCCTTTTAAATTGGTGTTGAGCTGTTCTGTCTGTATTCATCTAGGTGAGTGGCCAGGTAGACTGGTGTGGTAAAAGCACCATCTCCTCAGAGAAGGAGAGTTGAATCTTAAATAATGGCTGCCTTCCACATGGGAAATTTAAAACCGGATTGAAATGATCAGCTATTGGTGCAGACTTGGAGAGAGAGAAATGTTTTAGGCAGCAACTAGAAGCAAATACTTCACAGTTGTATATTATAACTGGTTCCAGGTTACACATGTGAAATGTTAATGATCTAAATACTTTTGGGTTTGTCTGGAGTTTTTGTGTTTGTTTGGGGGGTTTTGTTTTGTTTTTTGATGTATTTTTTTTTTAAGAAAGCAGCTTTCAATCCTGTTAAGATTTCTCATGTGTATCCTCTTTGAAGTCTCAGTAGTCATCCTTCTTCACATGATGCCTTTTTTTTTGGTTCAGCTCTGCTGTTTGAAATTAGAGAACAGAAAAGCGTAACCTAAAGACAACTGAAGCTGTAGTAACTATTCTAAAAAGCTCTGTAGTATAATGTAACCCTTCTAAAAGTGAAAATAATTGCCTGTGTGCCACAGTGTTTTGGTTTTGTGCTTCTTGCCATTTTGTCAAGCTCTGAGCAAATGAGCCCATATGCCTATTGCAATACAGTTTCTCTGTGTTGCAAACTCATCTGAAGGCTGGAGAGAAGAGCTAAACCGCTTGTACTGAAACACCTAGGAAATAAATTCTGTCTCTAAATTTTATACAAAATTACTCAGTTTGTAGTGTTTGTCTTCACTTTGTGAATGAAAAGCTCAGGTAACTAGCATTTGCTTCTTCTTGTGCATGACAGTTTTGGGGCAGGAACCACAATCTTCATATGCAAACCAAATGCTAATTTCACTATTACAGATGTTATTTTCCTCTCTCAGTACTTTTTCACTCAATTTTGCCTGCCACTTCATGTTTAAAATACGGCTTTTATTTGCTGCGGGTTTTTTGTAGATGAGAAAAAGAAGGAGAGGAAGAGAGCTAGAGGTATCTCTCCAATTGTTTTTGACAGAAGTGGAAGTTCTGCATCAGAATCATATGCAGGTATTCTTTCCTTTTATTGTGTTTTTCTCTAACTTGCATCAGTTCTTAATGTGTAATCTAAAATAAATGTAACTGGCTGTAGAGATTTATGGGGTATGTAGCTTTGTATAATTTGGTATTGACTTCTGGCATGTTGTGTGTGGGTTCCTCTGGGGGGAAGTAGCCTTTCTTGTTACTTTAATGCTATTCTGTTGCTTAAGTGGAATTTTCACTTTTTTTTTTTATTAAACTTGGAAGATGATGATTCAGTGACTAGTTTTCTGAGTAGGAAATTGTTCAAATAAAATTTTAAAAGAGACAAACCCAAACCAAACAACCCAAAAACAAAACAAAAAAATAACCAAAACAAAACACTCGTGCACATTGAATAGTATTTTTTGTGTGTGTGGGTGCGCGCCAGAAAGCGTAATCTGTCATGAATGAAAATTGTATGTGACAAGGCTGTAGAAATTGTATATTATCTCTATTAAGGCTCAATCTGAACAAATGTACTTTGGCTAAACACAGGTTCAGAAAAGAAGCATGAGAAATTATCATCTTCCGTTCGTGCTGTCCAAAAAGGTATCATTTAAATTTGAATTTTTAATGCATGCCCCATAGTAAATCATTGTCTCTGTTCATTAAATTACCTGTAGGTAGTAATGTTCCGATATAAGTCAGTTTGAGCATGTAATTGTTCTGAACATAACAAGAGAATCTTGTTATGCTACTTTTGCATGCGTTGAGAGCACCATGCAAAAAGTTCAGTCTCTCTGCTCCTTGCAGAGGCAACGAAGGGAAAATAAACTCCTTACATCTGAAAAGAGGGAACATTTCAGCCTTCTCTGGATGACTTATGCATAAAAGACTGTTACCCAGTATTTATCCAAAGATGCTTAAGCAAGGAAATAAGTCCTGTATATCGGAACATCACTGAATCATGCTGGTCTTACTTTATTTTCTCTTTACCTGAATATCTAAGTTTTAGTTTTGAGTTGATTTCCCCTGACATTTAGTGCTCTACAGCTTAGACTTCAACTTTCAGGTTGGGTGGTTGATTGTGACAACACATAGGTAGGAACAGGGTGGGATACTGTGTTTATTTTGGAGGAAATAACTGTCTACAGTAAGAGCAACATTTTTGGCAATTGTAAATGTTTACTGTCCAGTTTATTTGACGCTTTTTTTTCCCCCCAGATCAAACGAGTAAACTTAAATACATTCTCCAGGATGCAAGATTCTTTCTCATCAAGAGTAATAACCATGAAAACGTATCACTTGCTAAAGCAAAGGTATGTTGAATTTTCTTCAAATTGATCATTTTGTCCATTTTCAAACACATCCACCTTACTATAAAAAAGCATCCATCACTCAGATCTTGGCAGAGGCAAGAGTAAGAGCTGGTGCTCCTTGATTCTTCAGGACTGGCTATTCTGCCTCCACTGTGACCCAGAAAAGTTTCTAGGCCATCAGTCATTTATGTTAATAAAAGTAGGGTTAAAAAGGCTGACCTGGATATCTGAAGCCTTATTGCAGATGCATATGCCTGGCAGTGCTGGTGTAAGGGAGTTATTTGGGAGAGATTCTAGTGCACTGGACTTGAGCTGCTAAGGAATGGCTCTAGGCCACTCTTGGTGATTTTGGATTTACATGTGTTATTTGGAACAGCTTGTAGAGAAAACAGCTGATTTGCTGTTACACAATATCCCCAGAGTAAGTGATTGTGTTAATGAAGACTTTCTAAAATAGAATAGCATTAAAACTATTAAATTAATCTTAAAATTCCTGGACAGGTTTGGTTCCCCTCCTCCCAGCTTTGAGTCTGATCTGTGCAGTGAACACCACTTGGACTGGTGTTAGCATTAGCTCTTTAGAGGAGCATATCCTTTCTGTGCGTCATCCACGCTCGGAGCTGCAGTGCAAGAGTATCCTTGTTCCTGAAGTTCTTGGAGTGGACGGGCATCAGGGCTTTGCTGCTGCACTTCCGTGAAACTGGCTTACATGAAAGCCAGTGTAATTTCATTGTGCAAATGTAATAAGCTCTAGTTCACAGGAGGGCTTCACAAGCAGCCTAAAGCAATACAAACCTGACTAGAAGCTAGTAAAAAAATAAAAAAAACAACCACACAACAGTTCTCAGGTGACTGTTGAATTGTCAAGAGTCAGGCAGGTACTACTCTGAGCACTGAGTAGGGCATGAGAATGTATCTTCAATAAAGAAAGGAGAGGAACTTCTACTCAGTAAATCTTGGGTCTTATTCTGAGGCTAAAGTTTGAACATTATTTTGTGATTCTTGCCTTTCACCGATTAAATTTTACGAACTGTCCTCCACAAATCTGTCATACTAAGAAGGTTACTAAAATCTACCTGCCCACCTTTCAGTGCACATGCTGGGTTTTGTTTTTCATCATTTGTGTTTATTATATAATATGCATGAACTCCCAAAGTCACTTAAAACATGCATTAAAAATCCTGAACACATGCATATATCTATCCGTCATTGTAATTACAAATGGAATCTTACAGATGGTCTAAATGCATCTGCAGTGTTCAAAAAATGATTGAAAAGCCAGTGTTTTAAGAGTTTTATCACAGGGCAGGCTAAAAATATTTTCTGAAGGAAACTAATTCAGCAATACCTTATCTTCTATCTGTTCTATCCCAGAACACTAGTTTGGTTTTGTTTCCCATATCTGCAGTGTATACTTCTGTTAGCCAAATGACTTGAGATGAATATTTTGGTGATGGGATGGGGGTTGTTTTGTTGTAGGGAGTGTGGTCGACGCTTCCAGTGAATGAAAAGAAGCTTAATGCTGCATTTAGATCAGCGAGGAGCGTTATTTTAATATTTTCTGTAAGAGAGAGTGGCAAATTCCAAGGTAAGAGAAAATGAGCTATTATCAAGGTAAGTGAAAAAGAGTTTTGTGTGCAATAGCCTTTCTGTTGTGTTACAATTTATGTGAAATCCTTTAGGATTTGCAAGACTGTCTTCAGAGTCTCATCATGGAGGATCACCTATACACTGGGTGCTGCCTGCAGGAATGAATGCAAAAATGTTGGGAGGTGTCTTTAAAATTGACTGGATTTGCAGGTAAATAATTGTAAAAAAATATATATATATATGTTGCTGTTTAGTAATAAGGCGTTATAATACCATTTCTGTTTATTACTTGCCTGAGTGCTGACAGCATCCTTTCGAAAACCCAGTTCAGCCAGACATCTGTCCTCCAATCTCCCCAAATCCATGCTTCTCTGTTACTGAGCTTGTTCTCAGGTCTTGTAACTTGGATCCTGAGAGTGCTGAGGGAGCTGGCGGAGGAA